TTAGTATATACTATATCCATCTCATAGACCATTTCAATACAAGTTATCAAGTGCTTACAACAGTTATAATCTTCTCACCCATATTACCATCAAGTCTTGCTTCAATATGATTGGTCAATTAAAAAAAAATGGCTGCTCAAATACCAGCGACTGCATTTGAGGCAAATCTGAGTAGCATAGTGCCACCGTATATCTCATTCTGAACACTATATTAATACCTCGATATTTTGGCAGTGATATAGTCATGTCCCTCCATATTCATATAGTTTATTACAATTGGTTTCTTGGTTACAAATCAACTGGTACCACGGAATCAACGTGGTGATTGCGAATTTCCGCGGTAATCTCAGGCATAGTGTATGGGTAGAATCTTGTCTACTCAACATGGCCTCATTGCGGGTGGTGGTGGTGTTGTTGTTGTGGGTGATGATGTTCACTATGAAAGTTTTGGACGGACGAAAATCAGCCAGACCAGACGGTTGGTAGGTAAAAGTCCGGTCATTTCGACGACAAACAACGGATGTAATTTATCTGCCAGGCAGATCTCATCCTACTTTCTTCGGTGAGAGATTGTTGTATACGAGTATACAAACGTAATGAAATAGTAAGGAACGATAAAAGTAATCAGACCATGAGTAAGATGATTCTTTATTAATTAAGAAAACAACAAGACTATTTATAAGAAAAGAGATACGGCTAAACTATGATCCATGTTATATGACTCGTTCAATGTAGTGAACCTATTAGATGTAGTTATGAGTAAACGATAACAGAAGAGGATTATCCGGATATGACATTATTAAGATAGATCAGAACTGCTCTTAAATAGATCGTGGATCCTCTATTGGGTATTCCTGATATTCGGTACTGAATAGTTCAAGGAACGTCAATGTTAAGCGGATGTACAATAATATTAAGAACATAATGAATTAACCTAATGAGATCATGTGAAGGATCCAGTTGATAGGTCATTGTCGATTAGGAAGATAGAACCAATAAGACATAGTTGGATAGTGTCTAGAGTGGTGGACACTACTAGGTATTATACAACAGAGATAAGTCTTTCTATTGGTGTGGTCCCGTGACTTTTGACAGGACAGAAGATTCATGTATTGCTTTACCATTGGATACATACATCTCATAGATAAAGTTACTATTGGATGGATTCATTAGATACATTATAGGATAGACAGTATTATTATGGTTATAATTGAATGCAGTGCATATCAAAAGTATTTTATTATGAATAGAATAAAGAATTGTATGAAAATAAGCTATGAGTATTGATCGAGAAGGCTGGTTATTCCATTTATTGAAATACCTTAAAGTATAAGAAGCATTGTAAACATTGAACGTTGAAATAGATCGAGAGAGTAAGCATTGTATTTTGAATTGGATAGTAATGGTAAGCAGTGTACATTGTGACAAAGAGAAATAAAGGTATTCATTAAGCTGTGTTAATTATACTATATGATAAAGAAGTTGTATTAGTAAACAGCATCTATAGACAACACGGCAACTACTTACATCTACTCTTTTTTAGCTATAGTTATCCATCTAATGGACAGAACCCAGTTAGTATGTTGTATACCAGACAGCATATAGGATATATACTACAAACAGGAAAGCATCACACAGTAGTTACTTGGGTTAGATAGCATAGAACTAAATACAGAAATACTATGACTAACTGTATTATCTGTATGTTATTTTAAGTACTTACATATGTATCTCATAACAGAAGATAGAACACCTATCAGCAAAGCGAAGTTAATGTAATCTATTGTTATGACATGGAGTAAAGTTCATACCGTACATGAGATATCCAGTTGATGATCAAGGTAAAGGCATTTTTGCTGGGCAGTCAATGGAAGCACTACCAATAAATAAGAGTGTAAGTACCAAGTTAGTTATATGTTGTATCAGTTACTTACAATTTCTTGATAACAAGTAATATATCTAATAAGAGAAAGTCAGTCTACTACACAACATGGTCATCATACAATCATAAGTACCAGAGCAACACCTATTCATACATCATAGGAGACAACACAAGGTACTTTATCGTGGAGAGTATAAATACAAGATAATAGAACTAGGAGTATGATAATAAAGGATTACTCTTGGGTATATTACGTGTACAATTTGACCGAATACAGCATAAAACAAGCAACATAGATAGCAGAATACAGACAACCCTTAAACCAAAACTGAATAACAGATATACCAGAATATAAGCATTACAAATAGTCAAAAAAAGCATTACAAATAGTCAAAAAAAGCATTCCAGATAGATAACCAATGAAGAGAATACACTAGTAGAAGAATAGAGGATACATCACAAAGAGAGATAAGGAAAGCCAAAATATAAATATTCAGAGAGACACCAGATGGAATGAGAGTAACAGTCAGAAAGAGTATATACTGATCTTGGTAGATAGAAGAGCAACGATTACTATTAGGATATAAAGAATATTATAATATAAATTAAATAAATATGCTAATTAATTATTAATTATATCAATTTATTTTAATTTAGTAATTAATATTTTATAACAAATTAATAGACGAAAATAAATTATTTTTAGTTTAATATTTGTTGAATCTTCTGCAAGTACTTCCCCTTAATCAAATTTCATTTCATTTTGGTCAGATTGTCAGATTCAATAATTTTTTTTTCTTTCAAAAAATTAAATAAAAAAAGCACTTTGTAAGTTTTGATAACTTACAATTAATGTGGTATTAAACGATGCTCATCAGACACTACATCACTATGAATATTATCAGTTCATTTTAATATTCTTGTTATTGTGTACAATTCTTACTTTTTGTTTATATTCTCATATTGTTGTCATATTCTGTGTGTGATATACTCTATGTTGAAGTACAGTAGATCTGATGACTGTGCATTCCAGGTACAGATCCCCATCTCTTTCACTAAATATATTTGTTATTAGTATGTGCTACTGTCCCTTGATTCTTATTGTTGTTTATATGGTCCCTAATGAAGTGAAAGTGAAAAGGAGGGGATACTCGGAAATTGAAAAAATAAATAATTATGTCCGGGCAAGATAGTGATATAAATGGACATAATAAATTGATGGAGAATTTGAACAGCTCACAATTTGGCATTTTCTATTTCGAAATTAAAATAAAAATTGTAAAAGAGCTATAAAATACATTATACATCCATTTTTTATCTTTTAAACAGTACTATGACGTATAAAAGAACCTCATGAACAACATATCTCATTTTCAGCATTTGAATCGTACCTTCGTGTATTGACATTAACTTTGTCATTCCAACTGCTCAAAAACACTCCAATTTGATTGGATGGCTTTCTTTTAAAAGAATTGGACGGATCAAATATCAGTTCAGGCAGATCTCGTCCGTCCAAATCTTTTATAGTGTTGTTAATCTCCATTGTAATAGTAGTAGTATTAGTGGTAGTGGTAGTTGTAGTGGTGTTAGTTGTTGTTGTTGTCGTTGTTATTATAAATCAATATGATGATTCAAAAAAATGTAAATATCTTTGATTAGATTGGATGTGTGTGTGTGTGAAAGGCATATATAGCTAGTATATATCGAAGTAAGTGGACTGGTAAGTTGATTCACAATTGACTATAATGTGTATTGACTTATAAAAAGACCAAGAGCATCTATTCACTCTTTCCTCAGTATTAATATCTCCAGGTGTCACTGTCAAATAAAAACACTGCACTGAGATTGAATAATAATTTTTATCCTTAATGACCACTGTAATTAAGTGATATCAAATCCATGAAGTACTTCAACGACCTCGACAATGATAGCACAGAATAGACACTATTTTAGGACAGCATGTCTTTACATGACCAGCCTCGCGGCACAAGTAGCACACAGGAAGTGCTCATTTATAAGATGCAGGACAGTATTTGTTGAAATCTCTCAAATACATCATTCTAGCTAGAGGCTGTCTATGCTCCTCATCCTCTTTGGCTGTTGGGACGTTACAGTCAAGTAGCACAGATATTTTTCTTTGAAGTAACCATCTGCCATCACCTTCTGAATTTGGCAGACACAGCCATATGGTTCCAAGGAACTCTTCAATTTGTGGCATAATGCCTCTTGATTTAGACGTCTTTGCACCTCGACATCAACAGTATTTGCAGGAGTTCTGAAAGGAATCCTTCCAATGCCTACCCTTGTCAATTGAGTGGGTGCTCCATCTGAGGTAGGGACAGCCTTATACTGTCTGTTCTTGAAAGTCAATCCTTCTGTTACTGCTTTTTCTGAATCCGACAATCGAACGAAATTGACTTGTACCTAAACCTCGTGTTTGAGATTTGTACGACCAGGCTTAGTAATAATCTGTACTCCATCAATAGGTCCAATCTTATCACTAATTAACTTGAAGAAGTCCCACTGTTTAGCGAAGTCAGACTGCAAAAAGGTGAACAAGACAGCTGATGGATGAAGGGCTTCTTGAAGAATTCTAGATGCCTTATCAGCAATTAGTTTGTTGGAGAGGTTTCCAATACAGTATTATTATAGTATAGTGTTATGGGCATTTTGCTCATGATTACTAAGGATTCTTGCAAAGATTATCATTGGAACGCTTTATGAAAATTTATAAAAATGGGGTATATAACCCTTTAAAAGGGTGTGACAACCATAAGTTCATCCGTAGTGGAAAGTGTGTCGCCTAATTGCTATAAAATGTCTTAATAAGGAAACTGATCGCAGCGACTTTTATTTTGACGCAGTAAACTACATGTCCTTGTCAAGACGCAGCATTCTCCAAGACATATCATTATCATCCAAGTCGCAGTATACATTATCCATTACAGCTAGTTAAATGCTCTGCGGATCATTTGCTAAAAAACATATAAATATCAATTAGTTGTATTCAATAAAACATTATCTTATTATCTAATCTTTAACTACCCACCAAGAAGGTGACAAAATAAACGACAACACTTTAAAAAGTCAAAACAAAAAAATTACTGTCACTAAGTGATGAGGTTACCAGGGGTCGAACCTGGAATCTCCTGATTCGTAGTCAGACGCCTTATCCATTGGGCCATAACCCCTTTATAATTTTGTCAGATCACGTATCAAAGTGAGTGATCTTAGGTTGATTATAAAAACGGATAACCAGGCTATGTACGACAGGTAATAGCAAACAACTTTTTTAGACAGTAAAAAAGATAATAAGAACAGTTATGAAGTAGAGTAAAGCCAAGTTAA